CACATTAGGAAGGTGCATCTGCAGTTTCAATTTAAAAGTGGGCGTGGTCCCGTCCCCTATAGGTTTAATGTGCATATCTCCTAAGCCTCTAAAGCTATAATAAAAAACTTATCTGAGAACACATTTCTTTAGCACTTCTATCGGCAGTGTAAAAATGGGTGACAACCCCGTTCACTCCCCATATAACGGTATTGTTAAAAACTACTAAAAGCGCGATAAATCAAGCCCTAAACCCGCTAGAGACATTAAATTTTATCTCTGGATGGTATGAGATGACTTTATAGGAACCGCGTTCAAAATTAGACAGTGAGCGTGGCACTGCCCACTTTAGGTTTTAGGCCTATATCTTGAGATCTGCTTAACCGATTTCAACCAAGTTCGGTACATAATATTATTCTCATATTTCTATGTTATACTTGTAGTACGAAAATGGGCGAAATCGGAATACAACCACGCTTATTTCCCAGGTAACATCATTTTAAATTCCATCTGATTTTTTCACTTTCCAGTATGCAAATGTGTGACTAAAAATTATCTAAATTGAACCAAAACTGTTCAAGCCCCTAGGTACTGAATATGTCTACAACAGTGTTTGTTGGCTTTTTACCGAAAATATCGGTCAACATAGAACAAGGCGGCAAGATCCACAAAGAAATCTAAAACGAGTATACCATTTGACTTTGCGAGAGTATAAAATGTTCCGTTACATCTGAACTTAGCCCTATCTTACTTGTATTTAGTTAATATAATATTAGCTCTTTTGAAAGCAGAAGGTCTTTAACTGGAACTTACTGACGGTTTCTAATAGACCGCAATTTGTTTATTGGAAAACTTATTATAAGAGACATACACAAACTTCCATATTTAGCCTTCTGTACTTCACTTCACAGTGCAGGTTAGCTTAAGTATGTACATATCTTGGTTTATTATCACATATTAAAGTTACAAAAACCAGGTATACATTGCTACCATTCACCGTTTCGTAAAGGCAATAACACAAAACTCTTACACCAACCTACATATTTTGCCTGCATTTCGTTGCAATTACCTACAAAGCCATATTTAAATGTCAAAATGCAAACATTCTTTAGACATTTTTTGCACATTTATTAACTGTTAATTATAACCCAAACTAACTGTTAATTTATATGTTTTTAGCCGCCGAACACAATGCTAATTGACGCCCCGCTATGAGCGCTGTCAGCGCCTCGTTTTTACCAAACCAAATTCAAAAAGTTTAATAAAATTGAAATAAAGCAAAAATACATTTCCCTTTTACGATTTTTTAGTGAATGCAGTCGCTCATCATATTTGGTCAGCGGTAGCCGACCGTTTAAACTAAATAGGTAATTCACGGCTTACGCGAAGTTAACAATATTCAATGCATGTACGCGTTTGTACGAGTGTGTATTAAACTTCAATAAATAAGTGTGCCATTCACGATGTGTTATAAATACTCGTACATACCCACGCATGGTTGTATATGTCGATACATATGTTTGTGTTGCATTTATGTAGCTTGCTTTAAAATATTTATTTCGACTGGACGTCACGGAGTCGTGTGACAGAAATGCATTTATGAGTAACGGTTAAATTTATGATCACATTGACGAGGCCATTTCGATAGGCGAGTGATTGGAAGAATTTTTCAAATATAAATGCAACACCATTACTGGCACTATGTATGTCGTCAATAGACGTTTACACCTTGATTAGAGTTTTGCTGCCTCCGCACCTCCGCTGTTGAGTTGTATACGAAGCTTTTTCTTGCCTTCCGAGACCTATAGAATGAAATCCTGGTTTGTTCACGAAAGGTTGCTGTGTGGACAGCTTTGTCAAAGAGATGCGCTATTGATCCATACTTTTATGAGTTTTAATAAACAATCTTAGTTACAGTAAGGTAGAGTAACATATGGTCGCAGTCTTTCGCTTTCTCTCTTCTATTCCAAACTATAAACTAGTCTCCAATGTGATTTCCCTTAAAAACTGTTTGAAACTTCTTCTCTAGCTTGCCAAAAGTCCAGATCCCCAAAAACAAATCCTAATACAAGAAGTCTACTTACATAGTATTCATGGAATAACACTGTTTGAAGCTAAAGGATGTGAAAGACCTATAAAAGCCGAATGACTAAGATACCATTACCAAAAGCAGTAACGAGTTTTTGTTATGTCGTCTAAGAGATATACCCATGATAAAGAAAAGTACGACCAAGTAAAGTTATCCGATAAAATCAAAGAAAAAAATTAACTTAAATCATGATCAGGTAGATTTGCCTGAATCAGCACAGGGCTTTGCAATTGTGTGCCTATTTCCGTCTCCAAAAGTTGGGAGATAGACTCAGTTGTGAAAGAATTGGGCGAATAAAAAACTATTTCTGGACTTTTAATTTTTAGAAAGATACTAAAAGATAAAAATTTAAAAAAAAGCAAAGCTATTCCTTTCTCGGAAAAACATATTTTTAAACACACTGACATATCCAACTTCCCTTATTTACTACGTAATAGGAACATATATGTGCTAACAATGTAAGATTGTAATAATTAGATAAGTGTTTTATCGTTTTTAAGCATATTTTTCTGAATCACATTTTTTTAGTCTCTGCTAGAAGTATCTGTGTAGATATGCATAGGTGGAAATAAGACAAATGTATACTAATGTTACATTGCTTAAAAAAAGTTAATTGCAACGCTTTCTCTTTCAATATATTTGCAGTACATAAATATATAATTAACTGATTCAAATGACAAAATATATATATATATATATATGTACAACGGTGGGAAAGGAAACGGCTTGTCGCATATAACCTATTTTATTAGTTGCCTACAAAGCGTAATTAAAGTCTAGCAAAAAATATTTATTTTTTATTCGAACCGATATCGAACTTTATCGACTCCTTGAACCAGTTATATGCCAATAGCGTGGATATATGTGGATGTGCGTATATAAAGTAAGATGTACCTATAGACCTTGTCACTAATGTACTACACGTGTGCACTTGAAATGTCTCGTATGTCTCTTTTTGCTATTGTATTACTTCAGAAGCGTACGTGATTTTCGGAAAGTACTTAAAAGTTTAGGATACATGATACTAGAGATTTGGTCTCTGACGAGACTGGTATTCAACCAAGTGAAAGCATAAAATAAATAGACTGATGAATTAAAGATACATTATATTACTGAGCAACAGGTATCACAAAAAGTTCTATAGGAAAAGTAAAGTAGTACTTTAAAACTTAAATAAATAAAACAAATTACAATTTGCATTTGGTTCTATGAATTTAAAATGCCAACAATAAATTTACCGTAATTAAGCAACGCTAGCTTTCTGTCGGCTCCAAAAATTGCATAACATATAAAAAAGCAAGAATTAACAGATTTTAATAAAACTAAGCACACATTTTTCTGCTATGGTGTGACAACTCTCATCTAAAAATGGTCGAAACTGGACTAACCGTTTCTAGCTCTAGATACGAACTATAAGGACCACAATGTCTATGGCTGACATTATAATTTTCGGTATTATCAGTACATCTCATCGAAAATAAATTAATATTCTGATAATAATATGCCTGGTACTAAAAATGCATAAAATCGGTTCAGTACTTCTCCTCCCCTCCCTATTTACCTAGCATAGTAACTTTCGACATTCCATTTATCTTTATACCATACATATATGTATGTAAGCATATAATATCAGTATGATATCTTAACGAAATTAAGTGAGTATATACGTATTATAATTTTTATAATGGACACAATAGAATAGGTTTTGAACAGGGAAATTCTCTCGTGTATATCTTTTTCTATATAATGCTTAAAAAAGTGATACGCGCCGCTAATCGGAAACGCTACTGGGGTACGCAGATGATATTGTCATCGAGACCTTAACAGAGTCGTGAGTGCAGTATTTTTCAGCTTAGAAAAAGAAGCAAAAGACGTTGGTCTTATGCAAAGTACCAAGAGGCCTTACACAAAGGCTCCTCGCGTCTTGGGAACTAAGACTCGGAACCAGAATAATTTTTACCAACAATCTAAGCCTGGAGATCAAGCGAAAAATAACTCTTGCCAACAATTGCTATTTTGGGATCAGTAGGCAATTGAGAAGCAGATCCCTCTACGCCCGTCCTTTTATATGGTAAATGAAATCTGTGCAAATCTTTCTCTAGAATAATTTTCTCCCCTATGGTGACTTTATGCTTTATCTTCACGTCTTTGGTTCTTACGGTATATAATGTTCGGCTACGGTTTTTACCTATACTTTTCTCTGCAATTTTCTCCGCGTTAGTGTCGCCCTGATGATGGAGTGTGTAGACATGTGGATTTTGAGAGTTCTGTGACGCTTGGCACTCTAATTTATGGAAGACTCTTTGCCTAGGCAGAATTTTAATAAATTCGAGGTGGTCTTTTTAGCAGTCTAAGTGTATGGGAATTATTTAGGAAAATATACGGAATACAAACTCACTTCATTTGCCAATGGTCGTCAAAGTGTAACATGTGGACAAAGCAAACTAACTTTTAGAATGTTTCTACGTTCCTAGTGATCCTATGGTGGCTATGACTGCTGATAATAGAAGTAGGAAGTAGGATCTACTAGGCCTAGAATATAACCTATCATAACTTAGCTATAACGTGACATCTAATAAATAAGATAAATTATTCGTTTAATAGTTTTGTAGCTGACAGGAATCAAATTTAAAATAAATAAATAAATATACACACATATATATAAAGACCTTGAACTAGCACTTTTAAAGTAGTAACGGGAAGGCTAACTTAAGAGTGGAAATAATTTCTAACTTTGTTATATACTATAACTTAATGAAATGTGCAAAGTTTAACTAAGCCAATATCTCACATCAATTTAATGATCTAACATAAATAAAAACGTATTTTACTCGGCTAGAACATCGTAATAGATACTAGAAGCTAGAACATTACTAAATTACACATACTATGTATATTATAATAGCATATTTCATTTGAACATCGCACTCACCTTCTTTGGTAATAGCTTCCGTATCGCATTCATCACTATCATCTTTGGGCTCGAATTCGACCTGCGAAGTAACAACATCATAGAAATTAACACGTGTCACGTGGCGTACATAATCATTGGTGTTAGTATTATTATAATTGTTGCTGTTGTTGCTGTCGTATTTGCTATAGTTGTAGTAATTCGCATTGGCTGGTAGCATTTGTTGTTGTCGCACTGCTGGAGTAGAATAAGAAGCAGGCATAAAAAAAGGAAGCGAGTGTGTTGGAGAGATGTGTTGACGCCACTGGTGAGTTGTATTGTTGGCGGGATCTTGTGCTGGTGGAATAGACCAACGCGCTTGCGACGTTCTTCCAGCACTTGATTTTCTGCGCGTCTCACCAACGCGCGGAATGTTAGACGACGCGGCGGCGGCAGTGGTACTCGTACTGTGAGTTGCGCCACTTCTGGGCGGCTTTGGCAGCGGGTTCGTACACGACGCATGTGAATGTAGATGTGATTGCACCTCCCCACACCAACAGCAATAGCTAGGGCTGTAGGGTGGCTGGCTTTTGGGCAGAGGCGGCGGCGGCGGTGGTGGTGCTGGCGCTGCTGCCGTTGAGTCTGTTGCGTCGGGTTCGTGTAGTGGTGGTGACGGTGGCGGTGGTGGTGATACGATAATTCTTGGTGGATACTGTGTACTGGACACCTTGCCTGCGCGCTCTTCGCTAACGCGCCCGTGCTGCCTCGTGTATGCGCGCCGCGCATCATGTGTATACGCCGCGTTTGAATATCTATCACGTTCACTGGTGTTTCTTTCCGCACTACGCAAATGACTAGATCGTGGTGGTGTTGTTGTATGGTAGAAGGATTTGGTTTGTTGTTGTGCTGTTTTTTCATGCAACGAATGCGCACGTTGGCGTCGTTGACGCTGCTGTCCGTATTTGCCGAGAGTGTTGATTTGTAGGTGATGGTGATGCTGTTGTTGTTGTTGCTGTCCTTGTGATTGTACAAGTGCCGTTGGTGCCGGTGGTTGGGGTGGTTGATAGTGCTGGTATGTGGCTTCATTTGGCAGTGGTATTCCTTTAATGTCGGTATAGATAGTGGGTATAACGGTATCGCCGGTCGATGTCGTTGATACGGTGCTGCTATCGTTTGATCCTCTATCACAGCCATTTGTGGTTGTTACTGCTGCTGCTGTTGTTGTGTACGGTGGTTGTGGTGTTGGTGGCGGCGGCGATAGTAATAGAATCACCACCATTCGATCATTTGTAAAACATTAATTAACACTCTCACAAATTACGAACATTTCAAATCACAAATTTTTTGTTGTAGTTTACTTTTTGTTGTTGTATTTGGTCTTATTTTTATGGTCTCTTTTTTCTTTTCATTGTGCAATTATTGACATTATTTTTCTTATTTTTTTTAATATATTGTACTTTTGTAAGCTCGCATATTTTTTAACTCGCAATTCCTCTCGATCTGTGACAACTGTTGGTGCTGTTGGTAATAACTTTTAATTTAGTATAATAGAGCAAGTTTAATCATGTTTTTATCGACATTATCATCGCTCCACAGTTAACTTTTTAAAACACATGACAATGAAAATAATAAAAGTTAGCCAAAAATTAGCCAAAACAAAAATTAGCTTCAAAAAAAAAAAATGCCATAAGAAACGAAAGTCTATTAAAACTTGAACGGCTGCGCTAAATTAAACAATTCTTGGCCTAAGATGAATTAATATGCCAATGTAATAAAAAAGTATTTTTAGAGAAATTATTCTTGAAAGTGGCGCCGGTTGATGTGATTGGTCAAGAGTCAAACTTTCGTTTGAAAGAAGTATTTAAAAGAAATACAGAGACACACAACCCGCTGCACTCGGACATAAATATGAAAATAGAGAGTTTCTTACGTTAACTATTACCGAAAAAAGGTTAGAAAATAAGTAAATCGCATTAAAAGTTAAACATTTAGAAACTACTCGACCTTAATCCCAGATATCGCTGAAGAAATAACGTAAGTAATGCAGGTACAACGGAACGGTTCCTACACTTCTTAATAATATAAAACATACTACTTATACAAGGGTATACCCTTCCAGATAACAACAAAATTGCTGATATAAGCACGAAACTTCCATATTACTAAGGGCAACTTTACCTGGACTTTGTAATGAGTTTGAAAACCAAAGTCATATACCTATATTATAGTTAATGGAAACCCAATTTGGATTATTGATAAATGCAAAATTTTGAAGGCTATTTAAATAATGCGCTTTCTGCGAATTCTTAAAATTTGAACCAAATTAAAATTAATTACAAATTCAGAATAATGTCAATGTTTTATGACATTTCATCCAATTGTTCTCAAATTACTCATTCTCACAGAGACGCTATTTTGATTGCTTCCATTGTTTCATGATAGTGAAAACTGTTTACTCTTTGTCAGAAAGTGGCTCTCTAGAAAATGATTTCAGTCAAATATAGAGGTGCCGTTGGAAACAAATTGGAATGTCTCGAAATCTCACACTATGGAACCGGCATCGAAATATTTGAGGACTCAACAAATTTATTACTCTAGATGGAAGTTATGACTAAAAGTATATATTTATTAAACAAAAAAACGCTAGCAATCAGCCACACCCCTGATTTTTACTTGGCGAAACAACTTGGTCTCAGTATTTTAAATTTGTCCGATGGGGATTACGGTTGTTTGGAATAAAATATGTGTTTTGTTTTCGTATTTTTCGCAGTGCCAATATTTCGTATTGTATATCCTGGAAGCGATTAGCAAAAGAATACCTTCCAAAGCCATAAAATTTAAATCATGCATTCTTTTGTCACTCGCTTATGAAAAACCCGATGATGGAAACGTGAAAGATCGCTTTAGTCGAACAGTTTAAGTGCTTGACAAAAATTGACTTAAACCTGTGAATTTGAAATATGAACTCTTAAATAGGGAACATTAAATTTGAAGAAACATTTCTTGAAAAAGTACAAGCAAGCATTCCAACAAGTTAAGGTCAGCATCACAGTAAGAAGATTAATTTTTTTCGACACTATAAGAAAAAACAAGTCAGCTTAAAAGTACCCAACTACATCTTATATTAAAGGAATTACTAGTTAGCAAGTTGTTAACGAGCATGATAACTAGCAACATGAATACTATAAATGTACATATATACCTACAAACATATACGAATATTTTTAAATATTTTTTTGCGACTGCATTTTTGCTATTTATATATTCATAAGCTGCGATAAGCAAGCTCTTGATCTTCTACTCTTTCGTATAAGCGCTCTTCTTAATCATTTAAAATATTTATGTAACAAGTTTGCTAAACCGTTATAACTGCTCTTAAAACAATGCAGACAAGTGTGAAGCTTCAAAGTATTGGATTTCAAAGCAACTATAAAAAGCTAGAGTAAAGACTTAAGACCAAAACTAGTGAGAATATAATATGGATAATTACATAGTAGTTGCATAATAAAGGTGTGTACGAGCAAATGGATATTCCGAGCGGAAGATTTTAGTGTTGATTTGCAACCAAGGGCTTTTAATGGCAATTTTTGTGCTTTTTTATTTATATTTTTTTAAAATTTTTCTGTTTTGAAGTTCTAATTGCAGGCATTTTATGTATTTCTTATACTATCTCGTTTGCTGATTGCCAGTTTTGCGGGTCTTTGTACACATACTTTCATATACATAAATACAACAAAGAAAATCTGATTCAGCTTTGTTGTATTTTTTGTTTATACTTTATGCATTTTTTCACTAGGCATTATGCAAATTTCCACCCGCAAGCAGATTCACGACAGTCAAGCGGCAAAAATAATCACAACAACAACAATCATAACTGCAATTGAGTCACTCGTCTGCCTGTTGTATGCCGTTTTTATACAATGCAATCTTTTCCTTTCGCAGTGGGCAAACGCTAGTAGTAAGTTGTTGCTGTTGCTGATGATTTTGGCGCATTTGCACGGCAGATGACTTCATGTGGCTCCCAATTGCGAGTTTAAATATGCATTGCATTGTTGTTGTTGGCGTTTTCAACTTTGTTTTGCCGCTGTTTTTTGTTGTTGCTGTTGTCGTTTCATTATATATTTCTGTAAAGCATCAATTTCCTTGAGATTTCTCAATTGAATGGCGGCAAGCGGCGCTCACGTACTTGCACCCGACGCTGCACGCGGCGCGGCAAAATGACGCAGCAGCAAATGCGCTCATTTTGAATGAACGAAAACAAAAAAACAACAAGAAAAAACGTTAACTTCGGTTGCATCGACGCTATAATACCCTTCATAGATACAAAGGTTCCTTACAATAACTTAATTCAGATCTAATTTCGTGAATCGGCAATAAATAATAAAATTTTTTTCCATGCAGGCACTTTACTCCGATCGTTCAGTTTGTATGATAGTTATATGACATAGTGATCCGATCTAAACAATTTCTTCGGAGATTTTATTCTTGCCTTAGAAAATAACTCATGCCAAATTTTGTGAAGATACCTCGTCAAATGAAAGAGTTTTCCATACAAGCACTTGATTCCGATTGTTTAGTTTGTATGGCAACTATATGCTATAGTGGTCCGATATCGTTCCGACAAATGAGCAGCTTCTTAGTGAGAAAAGGACAAGTACCAAATTTCAGATCGATAGCTTAAAAACTGAGGGACTAGTTTGCATATATACAAACGGACGGACGGACAGACGGACATGGCTAAATCAACTCAGCTCAACATGCTTTATATATAATATTTATATATTTTATAGGGTCTCCGACGTTTCCTTCTGGGTGTTACAAACTTCGTGGCAAACTTAATATACCCTGTTCAGGGTATAAAAATATAATACAAATTAAACATAAGCATGTGTGTGTGAAAGCAAATGAGAAATTCGAGTGCATAAAATGCAGGAATTGAAAAATTGAATATGCATTTTGAATTGTTTTCAATTTTCTAGCGCGCTGGCATTTCCTCGGCTTGTTAGCTACACACACTCCCATAAGCGCTTGTGTGTATGTATTAGTGCATAGCATTCCAATATTTTAACGAATTTTCGCTTCACCACTTTTTATGCCGCCTTTTATTGTTTTCTAAGCGCACCAAATATGCATTTCACACCCAAGTAAATATGAACTTGTATATGCAGAGGTTCGCGCATGCACCTATGTGCCTATGCGCTTCCGGCATTTCACCGAAAATCGAGTTTCCTACTTTTGCCTTCTATGTGGCAAGCGTAATTATTTAATTAAAAAACTTTTAATTGCATTCATTAGGTTGCGTTGAACTCGATTTTAAATTGGAATCTGCATGAATGGTCAAGAAAAAGTGGCCAAAGCGCACGCACGTACACATATTAAGCACACACACACGCACGCATGCGCAGAAGAAGCAAATAATTGTAACACACTTAATTTGTAGATATGTGTGCGTGTGTATGTTTTTGGTCAGCCTCGAAACCTCGACCCATTTCACACAACACCAAACAAAACACTTTTATAATTTTGTATTTCTAGCTGTTGTTGTTGTTTTGTGCTCATCTACATATTCATTAGTAACAACTTGCCACATTTTTATGAGTAATTCTTCATATATTCATACTGTCAGCAAGCTTGTCATTGAGTTGAATAAAGCTTATTCGCATATAAAGCCATTTGTAGTCTTGGTCGTGTACTGCGTTTGTTCGCCTTTCCACCCTCAACATCTACTACACCAGAGTGGTTCTCTTTTCTAGGCGCTAAAGTGTAGAATTGTGTATGGCGGAGGGGTGCTCCGCGGTCTTCGGTTCGTATATTACTTTAACCACAACTGTGATTGCACAATTGGCCTAGATCTCACGATGATCATGCCGCTTCGGCGCACTTCGCAGCGTGACGGTGCGCGAGTCAACGACAATGCATAGTGTGGCGATAAGTTAAGTTAAGTGCTGTTAATTTATTTTGAACACACAACACACTTGTGAAGTGAAAAAAATTTGTTTTCATATAAAATCATATGTACATATATTAAATGCCAATATATTTGAACAAATTCTCTGAAAATTTGAAGTTGATCTAAAAAATATAATATAACCCCTTAAACTTATATATGCTCTGATTGAGCTAATTTCCAAGATTTTTTATGACCATCTTCTTAATTCTCGGATTGTTTTGGTTCGTTATATATATATACATATATGGCATATAAACCAATTATTACCGGGAAACTCGATTTTTAATTCATCTCGATCAATCGAACTATTACTAGAGCCCTTCTTTTGATTTTAGATATTCAACTAAGTACCAAATTCGTACCCAAAACGAAATTTTAATACAGTTTCTGATTGAGTAGATGCTGAGTATTTGTGTATTGTACCAAAATTATTTGCGGTATTTATATTGTATATTACCTAATTAGTACGATTTGATTGATTTATAATAAAATTTCGTGTCCTCCAACTAACTTTAGGGCCTTTATCACATTTAAGGTATCCAACAAGGTATCGAATTTATACCTAAAA